GCAGCTTCCAGACTGCTGTGATCAACGTGTTCAGGGGGGGCGGCTTGCAAAGCAATGAGCTCTATGTCCTGAATGAAAATATCCGGTAGGTAGTGGGCCGGCCCTGGCCGTTTTCCTGTGTGGGCCTGAGCTGGAGCGGGGACCTCCAGGAGGCTTGTCCTAAGGCTTTTCTCTGCTTGGTGCTCGCTGCTCCTGTTATCGGTGGTTATGCTGCTTTTATGGCTCTTGAGTTCCGAGACCCTTCACCTGTGGAAACCTCTGACCCAGAGGAGGGCTCACCTATTTGTTCACATATGTGGTGTGTTTTGGGGTGCAGGGTCGAGGCGGGTAGGGCAGATGGCAGCTGTGTGCATTTATGGTGCGGTCCGTCACCATCGGCAACGTGGCTTAGGGCTGGAACCAGGCTGCTTGGGGTTTATTGCTGTTCTTACTTTCCTAAGTGACTCACCAGCTTGTCTTTGAGCACCTCCATACTGGCCAGGCACCAAAAGGACAGAAAGACCAGAGACAGACAAGAACCCTGCCCTGCCGGGTTTATATCAACCAGGGGGCCCGTCGTCAGTCAGCTAATCACACGTGTGGTCCGAGTGCAGCCCCAGCCGCTGCTACAGCTTAGCTGATGTGACGAGAACGCCGCGTGTCTGACTCGATCTGGCCAAGACGGCAGGGGTGGTGGCTGGGACGTGTGTGCTATGGCTGGCGTCTCCACAGGCACCGACTGGGTGAGCAGCCGGGTGGTAGGAACTGCAAGTGCGGAGGTCCTGCAGGTGCAGCGAGCGGGATGCTGATGGAAGCCCAGAGCTGGGTCTGGGAGGGGTGTGGCTGGTGAGGAAGGGTGGGGGCCAGGACACAGACTCTCCCAGGGGTTAGGGGTTGAGCCATCAGGGTGCTGATGCCTTGGCACTCACTCCTGGGTGTCAGTGCAGAACTTTAGGGGGCAGGGCAGTAACCAGCCGTGGACCACCCTACTCGTCCCGAGTCCGCTCGGGGAGGCCTGTGTCGAGGTGAGTGAGGGGTCGGAAGAGCTCTGCTTTCATGAAAACCTTCCGAGCTCACAAGAGGACAGAGCTGTGTCAGACCCCCGCCCAAGTGCTTGAATTCCCACTACAGCTACATGAATACGGAAAGAGACAAAAGAGGTCGTCTAGCCCAAAGCCTCATCTTACTCATCCCAAGACGTGGAGTGGCAGGGGCAAAATGGGTCAGCAGCTCCCAGCTGGTACGAGCTGCAGATCCTGGCCTTTCCGTGGAGTGGGACGAGCCCGGCGCAACCTGGGTGCTGGACTTAGTCGAACTTCAGGAGGCTGCCCTGACTGGGTGCTGACTGTGGCAGCAGGGAAAGACGCAGCCTGGTCGGCTTGGGGCTGCGGACTCAGGTGCCTCCAGGTACCAAACAGGCCTTCCTGAAAGGGTGAGGCCAGGCACAACAGGTGGCGCAGTGGTAAAGGTGCTGGATTCCCACATGGCCAACTGTAGTTCGAGTCCTGGATCCAGCGGCTTGAAAAACACTGAAAATAAAAGACGTGAGGATATGGCAGACATCTTGAGAGGAGAATGGCAGAGAAGGGATTGCAGCATGGCCAACCTCACTAGGGGGTGATTTCTCATTTTCCCTCTCTTCTCACTCTGTCCCTCCAGTGAGTGCATATGCCCTATAACAAAACCTTTAAAAAAAAAAAAGTAGTGAAATATATCTTTAAAGGCTTCTTGAGTTTTATGTCTTTGAAAGGGCTTTTCCACTTCTATATTATAAATCAATTTAACTCATGGTTTCTTCTAGAAATTTTATGACCTTGTTTTTATGCTTAAATGCTTAATATAGTCCTTTTTTAAAAATACACAGCGTGTGTGTGTGTGTGTGTGTGTGTGTGTGTGTGTGTGTGTGTGTGTATTCCCAAATCCCAGGAAGAGAATGGGGAAGGGATTGTGGTGTGGCCATCCCTCCTGGGGGTGATTTCTCACTTTCTCTCTCTCTCTCTCTCTGGCACACACCCTATAGCAAAAACTTAAAAAAAAAAAAAAAAGATGATGTAATGGTTACATTGCTGGATTCCCATGTAGTGATGTGATTCAAGTCCCAGATCTGGCAGCTTAAAATTCACTTCAGGTGTGTGTGCGTGCATGCCCAAGATCCCAAGAGGAGAATGGAGGAGGAGAGATTTCAGCCTGGCCATCCCCCTGGGGGGTAATTTCTCGCTTTCTGTCTCTGGTGAGTACATGTGCCCTAGAGCAAAAACCTCTCCAATAAGTAAATAAATGAGAGAGCGCTTCTGGATCCAGAGAGACTTGGTTGAGCTGGCCATGTGACCTTTGTGCAAATTGCTTCCTGTCTGACTCTGGCGTTTCTTTGACAAAAGGGAGGCAGTAATGATAGCGCCACCTTCCTGGTGGCGTGGAGGGCTCAGAGGGAGGTTGGGCATTCCCAATCTCAAGGCCTAACTGTCCCCAAATCTGAAGCTTTTTGAGCAGTGCCATGACAACACAAGTGGGAACTTCACACCTGTTCTCGTGTGATGAACATAGAAAAAATACTGCAATGCAAAACTGTCATATAAAGGTACCTGCAGGCCGAAGGTACAGGTGTGTCTGAAACATACGTGAAACTCCTGTTTAGACTAGGGCCCATCTCGTCATGGACATGCAAATGTTCCAGAATTTAAAAAAATCCGAGATCTGAAATCCTTCTGATCCCAAGCACGTCACATAAGGGCACTTACCCTGCAATGCTAAACACATCCTGTGCTCGTATCTGCACAGTAATGTGGGACACGGAAGCCATTACTATCTGACTGCTGCGAACGTGTAGGAGTGAAGTGGGAGGCGATGGTGAGGGCCACACGTGAAAATGCCCTGTCGCGGGCTGCCCCGTGAATGGTGCCGGCCATGGCTAGATCCGCTAGCAGCTTAGATGAGGGGTTTACTTTGAACCAGAGGATCAGGACAGACTCTTCCAAGCGCCCTCTTGAACTTAAAGTCTTGGTGAGGCTGACCCCTTTCAAGGAGAGCCAGCTGTTTCTACTTTCTGCAGAGTTAAAAACAAGAGAAGGGGCCCTCCGTTCTCCATCCTGCTCAAGCCACACAGTGATGAGCTTTCTGATGGACCGTCCACATCCGGGTCAAAGCCTAAATCACCACCCTGGCCAGCCCTGGCCACTTTCTAACAGGGAGCCAGGATGTGCTCAGGAAGTGTGAGTTCATTTAAGTGGTGGCCAAAGCTAAGGGTGACCGTAGGATGGTGCTACGATGTGTCACAAATTCTGTGCCATTCTCTTTAGACTTTAGTAAAGTTCGGAGACAGAAGAACTCTGGGCTGAGGGTGGGCAAGTTTTAAAGTGTGGCCTTGGGCCTGGAGACATCACTTCAAGAATAAATCCGTCAGAAATATCACACCTCCAAAGAGTGGCCCGTTTCCCCGAATGATGATCGGGAGCGTGGCCTGTAAATGGGAGGGGTTCTGCTGAAGTTGCCGTAGGGATCAGAGCATGCAACTTGGGTCCTGCAGGCACAGGGACGACCTTCCGGACAGACACGCCTGGCCCAACCCTCTGTACCAGTCTGCAAGGCTGGCTTCCCTGAATTTCAACCCGCCCAGCCTGGGCTAGCCCTGTGCTCTTTCTGACCAGATTCTCTGTGAGTGCCCCTCACGGCCCCTCCGGCCTCAGCCTGCCATGGGCACTGGGCAGCAGGCCAGGCCGAGGTTAGGGCTAGGCGTCGCACCTCTTTCCCAGGAGCAAGCACAAGTAAGGTCTTGACTCAGGCGGGCTCTTCCTCAGCAGTCTTTCAGCTGGTTGTCCTGACCGTATGAGATTAGAGGAGTTAGAAAGTATATAAAAACCAAGATTAATATTTAGTAGTTCTGTTTTGTTTGAATTTTTAAAGTTTCTGTATCCATTCCATGAGAGAGGGAGCCAGGCAATGAGGGGTGTCCGCAGCGCCCCAGCCTCAGCCTGCCACAACACGGAGGGGGCACTTCCCAAACCTCTTCCCGTGTAACCTCAGCATCACGGGGTGGCGTCCCTAGGCCCCATGGTGAATGGGTTTTACAGAAACTGAGGTGTTTAAAAGTGCTTTCACTTTTTGATTGTTTGGGGGCTTGCCTAAAAGGGGGGCACTGGTTCCTTCACTGGTTCATTGATTGCAGTGGAGTGCTCCCCGTGTACAGGCTGATCTGGGGTGGCCATCGAGGTGGGGTCCTTGCCGGTGGGGAGCTTGCCGCAGTGTGGGAGGGACCTGAGAAGTGGCTACAGGACGCCTAAGCGGGGCCGCGGCAGAATCCGGAGCTCTGGGGCATCCGGACGTGGGCACATAGCAGGTGTGGGCAGACTTTGGAGGGTGCAGGCGGAAAGGACAGCAGGGGTATATCTGCCCCGTCGTTCCACACCCCACTCCCCATTGCTCCCAGAAGGGCATCTTCTCTGCAGAAATGAATGTGCAGAGAAGAGGTTTCCGGAACCAGAGATGAGTGAGCTGTAGCTGGCCTGAGGCAGGAAGGGCACGTTTTCCTTCTCTCTCCAACCGCTGGGCTTCTGTGCTCCTGGGGAGGGGACACAACAGGAGAAGCCCCAGAGACCTACAAGGGGGGGGTGATTCCCAGAACTGTGCTCCATCTGGGGTGGTCTGAGTCAGAACGCCCTCCTCTGAGCCATTTGGCTGCCTGAGCCCCAAGGGAAAGCGGGCGTGCATGTCTCTGTCTCTAAAGGAGGCCGTAGACTGTGCAGGTTCCGCTGCTCTGAGGACCTGAGAGGAGCTGACTGGAGGGGAGCCTGGTGCTGCCCACGGCTGGCAGAGGAGAGAGTCTGAGGCGAGATTCCTCGAGGCCACAGTGGAGGCAGACGCTGGCTCTGTGTCTGGCTGTGTGGGTGTGTTCTGAGCCCTTTCTGGTGCTGTTGGGAGCTCACCACACCCATGGGACAGATTCGCCAGCCTGTCTTCCAGAAGAGGAAGGTCAGACAGAGAGTGGAGTCCTAGAACCAGTAAGTGCCGGAGGTAAGACTTGAACCCACGCACTCTGTGTTGTAGTAAGTATGCTGCAGGGGCACCCAGAGCGGGCATCGTACTGCTTTAGGGCCGACAGAGGTTCTGTTC